TTTGCCTGCTGAATAATCCTCTCTGGACAAGTTTTGTTGTCTCTCTTTTAGATCCACACACTTAATTTCCTTTATTATGAAAAATTCCAATATATACAAAAGTGAAGAGAAATATGTAACAGATCTCCATCTACCCATTATCCAGCTTCAATAGCTGTCAATACTGGTCCAATCTTGTTTCTGCTTTATCCTCGCTCACTTAACCTGTGGTCTGAAACTATATTAGCGATAGTGTAAGTAATTAGTAAGTAAATCCTAGACACTGTATTACTTTATCCTTAAGTAGCTCTCCGTGCACCTCTAAAAATGGCTTTTTAAAAATAAACACAATGCCATTAGCAAACCTGAAAAGAAACTCTTAAGTATCGTCAAATTTCCCTGATGGTTTTGTGTGTGCACGCACATGCATGTTTTACAATCCTCACACTTTCAATCCATCCTAATGGACTGCTTCGGACACTGCGGGCTGTGGGGCGGTTGGAAGGGGGCAGTGGCCCCTCACCACTTCCTCTGAGGCCTCCTCTTGGATCAGGCCTTGGGGGCCCCATGGCGGGGTGGAGAGGACGGAGGACACACCGCCCCGGATTCAGCACCCCTGACTGTGAGCTTGGGCTCCAGTGATCTGGGAAGCCGGCGGCCATTTCCTTCTGCTACTGGCTTCTGAAAAGGAAGATTTGGGCTCAGAGAACAGCTCCCATTCTGTCCTCCTGCTTTGGTGGGCTGGCCTGTCCTTCCATGGTTTCCAGTGACCCACCAGTCACCACCACATCACCCACGGCTTTCTTCCTTTTTGAAAAATCCTTCCAGCCCAGGCCCACCCACAGCCCCGTAGCCTTTCGCCTTGGGCTGACTCACTCCCTCCCAGATCCTCCCTCTTCCACCCACCCTAGACCCATTCCTCAGTGTGCACACAGTGATGCCCTCCTCCATGGGCAAGAATGGAGTGGGGAGCAAGGGATGATTCCAGGGCCCAGAGACTGATCCAGGCAGCTCAGATGGGGCTGCGAGGGGAAACGGAGGACAAGAAGATGGACTGGCCAGCTGGAAGGCTGAGAGTTCAAGTTTGTGTGTTTGTGGAGGTTCATGGCCTGATCGGCCCACTCATGTTGCCCGGCCTCGTGTTGTTTCTGGGAGGCAGTCTGTGTGCTGCGCCCAAGTCGGCCGGGGTATGATAGTCGACGGTAGACTTTCTCAGTAGAGGAAGAGAGAGGCGGCTGTCTCGTGTGTGGGTGTGTGGGTGTGCAGTAATTGCCGGCAATCCCCACTTTTCTGGGTGTAATTAGTTGATTATTATAATTAAGATAACTCTGTTGTTAAGCAGCTCAGTTTGCATTTGTGTATGTGTGTGCGAAGTTAGGGCTTGATAAAACAATTTCAGTCCCGTACCATCCTCGATCACCGGCCTCAGCCCTTTTGGTTTTCTCTTCTCTACATTCCAACTCCAAGAACTTTTTAGATTTTTACTTTTTTTTTTTTTTTTTTCTTTTAGCTTTAAACCTGCTTTAATTTGGGCTGACTGGCTTTATTTCTTCTGGAGCAGGTGAAAACGGCTTTGCTTTCTCTTCCGCCGTTTGCAGGTGGCTGTCTGATTTCTATTCAGTGGGTCCGAGGTTGGTGGGAAGAGGCGATCCCTTGATGCCCGAGCACTTTTTGCGTTTGAATCAGTACAAGGCATTGCCAGAATACACTCCTCAAAGGTGGTACCGATTTACACCCCCACCAATAGTGGCCGAGAGGACCCATTATCCCACAGGTTCATCAGCATTAGATATTGTCAATTTTGAAACATTTTGCCAACATGACTGATAAAAACCATCTTTTAATTTGTACTTAACGATGGTGAATTGGAGCATTGTCAGAGGCATACAGGATGGGGGCGGGATATGATGACTTTGTGAATCATTTCGAACTGGATGGTCCTTAGAAGCAACAGAGGAACTTGGGGTCTTGAACCCTGTCCTCTGAGGGCTGAGTGAGTGGTAAGCGGTCTTTCCTAGGGGCTCAGTTTGGCACCAGACCCATCTTCACTCCTGGTTCCTTCCCAGCAAAGTGTCGTGTAAATCAGAGGCTATTTTGGGATCCCAGCTGGTGGTGATTCTAGACTTTTAGGGTGAAGTTGAGACCTCCCTTCTCCTCTCCCTCTTCCCCACAGTCTTCCTGTGTCTCCTGCCTTTCACTCTACCAGTGATAAGCAGGATGGGGTGATGGAGATGGTAGCGTGCGCTCTGCCATCAGGAGACCCCATTTCTGCTCTCCCACCGTGGAGCCATCACCAAACCTCTCTGAGCGTCATTTTCTTCAAGTATAAATTGGAAATAACATTTTATATCTCAAAGGACTGGTTCAGTGAACTGGCTGCTGCATAAGTAGTGGCACTTGAATTAATATGTTCCCTTCTCTCTATTACTACATGTTTAGATAGGAACTGGTTACAATATAGGAAACATGAATGACCGGACCACTGTTGTAGAATGAGCTGGTGGTAGAAATGGGTTGAAAATATTCTCCCACCCTAGACTGCTCAAAGTCTCATCCCTAACCTTTGATTCCTCCGGTTGACTGGCATACCGAGCTCCTGGGACCAAGGGCCTCAGACCGGAACTCTGGACTCTGGCTTGGGGCTCTTCAGCCAGGCCAGAGGGCTTTGATAGTTCTGGGTCTGGGAGAAGGTGGGATGGGGGTGGGATGGGAGAGACGGTGAGCTGAGTTTCACATTCTTCAAACTCCTTAACATCTCTCAGAGGAAAGATGGACAGGAGTTATTATCTCCATTTACGGGTGAAGAAAGTGAGGTTTGGCTTGGGAATTAACTTATCCAAGGCCATAGGGCCACTAAGTCTCTTTTTCTCAGCCCAGGAGAGTCTGGGGAAGACAGGAATGTGACAGTACCCTCCCGGGAGATCTTTCCAAGGTTATTAGCGATGTTGATCTGGGACCCTCTGGGGACTAGAGTCCACCCAAAAGTGCTCCTAAGGGGGCTTCCCTGGTGGCGCAGTGGTTGAGAGTCCGCCTCCTGATGCAGGGGACACGGGTTCGTGCCCTGGTCCGGGAAGATCCCACATGCCGCGGAGCGGCTGGGCCCGTGAACCATGGCCGCTGAGCCTGCGCGTCTGGAGCCTGTGCCCCGCAACGCAAGAGGCCACAACAGTGAGAGGCCCGTGTACCGAAAAAAAAAAGTGCTCCTAGGCCCCTAGAACTCTCCCTCCCCCAGGTTTCCTCACTCATGAACCAGTGCCTTTCTTCCCAACCTGCAGGGCTTCTTGTAGGGGAAGGGAGAAGTATGTGGGAATGAAAAGTAATTCTGATGAGGATTTGACTCTGCCAGCTTAAAAACTCTGCTCTTCCTGCTTGGGTTAGAAGAGAAAGACTAAGCCATAGATGTAGTGATGGTGGTGATGGGGTGGTGGTGGTTGTAGTGGTGGTGAGGGGGTAGTGATGGTGGAGGTGCTGGTTGTAGTGGTGGTTATGGTGGAGGTGTTGGTTGTAGTGGTGGTGGTGATGGTGGAGGTGTTGGTTGTAGTGATGGTGGTGATGGAGTGGTGGTAGTTGTAGTGGTGGTGGTGGTGGGGGTAGTGATGGTGGAGGTGCTGGTTGTAGTGATGGTAGTGATGGGGTGGTGGTGGTTGTGGTGGTGGTGGTGGTGGTTGTAGTGGTGGTGACGATGGGGTGGTGGTGGTTGTGGTGGTGGGGGGGGTAGTGATGGTGGAGGTGCTGGTTGTAGTGATGGTAGTGATGGGGTGGTGGTGGTTGTAGTGGTGGTGGTGGTGGTTGTAGTGGTGGTGACGATGGGGTGGTGGTGGTTGTGGTGGTGGGGGGGGTAGTGATGGTGGAGGTGCTGGTTGTAGTGATGGTAGTGATGGGGTGGTGGTGGTTGTAGTGGTGGTGGTGTTGGTTGTAGTGATGGTGGTGGTTGTAGTGGTGGTGGTGTTGGTTGTAGTGATGGTGGTGATGGGGCGGTGGTGGTTGTAGTGGTGGTGAGGGGGTAGTGATGGTGGAGGTGCTGGTTGTAGTGATGGTGGTGATGGGGTGGTGGTGGTTGTAGTGGTGGTGAGGGGGTAGTGATGGAGGTGTTGGTTGTAGTGATGGCAGTAATGGTGGAGGTGTTGGTTGTAGTAATGGTGGTGATGATGGAGGTGTTGGTTGCAGTGATGTGGTGTTGGGGATAGTGATAGTGGACATGATGGTTGTAGTGGTGGTGGTGATGGGGTGGTGGTGGTGGAGGTGGTGGAGATGATTGTGGTATGGTAGTCCTTCTGCCTCTGAATCTATTGTTCAGTGCAATAGCACAGCATCCCAAATCCACTTCCTCCACTTTTCCTGGGAACCAGGACTTTGAACATGAGGACTGTGCTCAATAGAGTCCCCCTTCCAGGTGGATGGGAAGCTCCAGCTAGGACTTCAGTTACTTCTCTGGAGACCCTGGAGCAGGCTGTGCTACAGACATCAGGCCCAGGAGGATGGGGCAGGGAGAGCCTGTGGATGGGTGCTCTGGAGCTAGGTGCATGTTAGCACCGTGCGAGCCATGATGGAGAGGATGGATGACAGACTGAGGCCAGACCAGGGTTCAGGGAACTGAGAGATTAGGACCTACTAGGAACTGCTTGTGTGGGGCTGGCTTGTGGCTTTGCTCCCCCTCTAGGGAGCACGCTAAGGCTTGCAGCTAATGTCTAGCAACTGACCCTCTGAAACAAAAACATTTTTAAAAGCCCCGATTCATAGTGTTTGCTGATTTCCGTGGTAGATACCCCTATAATGACTGCTCGTAAGCTGCCCATGTGATATCACTGAATGCGGAGTTGGGAAGACACGTGTGGTAGCGCACATAATCTGGAATCTCCACCGGACAGGTACAGTAGATGTAAATAATCTGAAGAGAAGAGATAATAGTAAACTGTAGTAAAAAGAACTGATTTTTTTGAGTTTTTATTACCTTGGCTTGTAATGTAATATATTTAATTGTAAATTTATGTGATTTAATTTTTAATCGTGGCTGTTTAACAACTGGCTGGCAGACTTCCTGGACTTCTCCAGCTGGCTCTGGTGAGGGCTGGGAGCCGGCTCCAGCACACCAGCGACGGACAGCCTTTGCGCAGGGCACGGCTTTCTGGGGGGTTGGGGGCTGATGGATATTGATGCGTCTCTCTGTTCTCCCCAGTCGGATGTTCCCATTCCTGTCATTTACTGTGGCTGGGCTGGAGCCCACCAGCCATTACCGGATATTTGTGGACGTGGTCTTGGTGGACCAGCATCACTGGCGGTATCAGAGCGGCAAGTGGGTGCCGTGTGGAAAGGCTGGGGGCAACATGCCAGGTACGCGTCTCCTTGGGAACTGGGGGGCATGCTTTCTGTCTAACACTGGGCGCCCCCTGGTGGATCCAAGAGGAACCCCCAAGCCCCTGGCCCTGACTCCTAGGATTTCATTCTCTGTTCCATCCCTCCCATCCCATCCCATCCCACCCCACCCCACTCCACCCAAGCCCATCCCCTCCCACTTCTCACTTCCGTTCTGTTTGTCATCTCTTCCACTTTGCTCTAGCCTGTCTTCGGCTCAGTCCTCTGCCCACAGCTCCCCCTCTCCTGCCCCGTCTGTCCTCCCCCTGCATCCTTCTTGCCATCCCCCTCAGAACAGGCGAAGAAGCCCCACATCACCAGGGGTCTGGTCACAAGGGCTGCATATGCCAAAGAGATTAACTGTCCACAGGGAACCGCCTGTACGTCCACCCAGATTCTCCCAACACTGGAGCCCACTGGATGCGCCAGGAAGTTTCATTTGGGAAACTAAAGCTCACGAACAACAAAGGGGCCTCCAACAATGTGACCCAGGTGGGACTCCTCCCCATGGGATAGCCCCGCACCCCTCCCTGTCCCCGAGGTGGCAGCGGGTCCTGCAGGCTGCTTCTGTTCTGTTCTGGAAGAGCGACTTTCCTCCCTCTCTGACTCTGGTTTTTTTCCATCCACCTTGGGAGAAAGCTGAATCTCAGTGCAGACAGGTGTCACATTCGGGCCAACACGGACCAAACCGGCCAGGGGGTTCCTTCACCGAATCCTGGGCTCCCATCACTTGTGTACCATATTGGGTATAGAGTTGGTACTGGTGGTCCCAGGGAACGGATGCAAAGTTTCTTTGAATTGAGCAATTCTATTAAAAGTGCCCTTTTCCCTGAAAAGCCCTGTTTGTGCTAATACCTTGGTCACAATGGACATCTGGGGATAGGTAAATGGGCAAGAGAATAGAATTGGTGCCCTGAAGAGGCTAGGGACTGGGGTTGGAAGCCTGGGAGAAGTTATGTGGTGGCAGGGCAGAGGAATGGGCACGATGACCTCAGGGTCCTTTCTGGCTTGGCCGTAGGGCTGGCCATAGGTGGGGCTGGGAGAGGGTTCCTTTGAACTCCCTCCTCCCACCCTCACAGCCGTCCTACCCTCTCTCAGATGATCGTGCTCCAGTCCCTCCATAAGTACCAGCCCCGGCTGCACATTGTCGAGGTCAGTGATGGAGAGCCAGAGGCGGCCTGCAACGCTTCCAACACGCACATCTTTACTTTCCAAGAAACCCAGTTCATCGCCGTGACCGCCTACCAGAACGCCGAGGTGAGGGCTCCCTGGGCGAGGGTGGGCTGAGCCTGTGGCAGGGTGGGGGGGACGACGAGGGGGAGAGTGGAGCCCCCAGTCTTCCTGGGAGCGATTTTGGAAGTTCCCCAGCCTCAGACTCAGGATTCAGGTGACTCTGTTTCACTTCTCTCTAGATTACTCAGCTGAAAATTGATAATAACCCCTTTGCCAAAGGATTCCGGGAGAACTTTGAGTCGTAAGTGCCACTGGGTTCATCTCACGTTTGCAGAGGCCTCCTCTTGTCCCTCTGAGACCAGACAAGTGTTCATCACATCCCCTCTCTGCCTCTGCGGTGGGGAAGTGTGGGCTGGGTACTGGAGGGTGGTGGGCAAGTCAGGAAAGAGGGTCTGGGGAGGGACGTGAGACAGGCAGGCTCCTAAGTGGCCATTTCTGTTCGTGACCCCTGTCTTTTGCTTCCTGTTTTTTTTAGCATGTATGCATCTGTTGACACCAGTGTTCTCTCCCCGCCTGGACCCAACTGTCAGTTGCTTGGGGGAGACCACTACTCTCCTCTGCTCCCCAACCAGTATCCCGTTCCCAGCTGTTTCTACCCCAACCTTCCCAGCCAGGCCAAGGATGTGGTTCCCCAGCCTTACTGGCTGGGGGCCCCTCGGGACCACAGCTACGAGGCCGAGTTTCGAGCTGTCAGCATGAAGCCTTCATTCCTGCCCTCCTCCCCTGCGTCCACTATGTCCTACTACCGAAGCCAGGAGGTCCTGGCGCCTGGAGCTGGCTGGCCTGTGACCCCCCAGTACCCTCCCAAGATGGGCCCAACCAGCTGGTTCCGCTCCACGCGAACTCTGCCCATGGAACCTGGCCCTGGAGCCTCAGAGGGGCGGGGGCCAGAAGACCAGGGCTCCCCCTCCTTGTGGACTGAGATCACGCCCATCCGGCCAGAGTCCAGCGACTCAGGACTGGGTGAAGGAGACTCTAAGAGGAGGCGTGTGTCCCCCTATCCTTCTAGTGGCGACAGCTCCTCCCCTGCGGGGGCCCCTTCTCCTTTTGATAAGGAAACCGAAGGCCAGTTTTATAGCTATTTTCCCAACTGAGCAGATGAC